TTATATGTATTGAAGCTTTACAGTGCGTATGAATAATATTACTACATCTCCCCTTTTTCAATCCTAATTAAGACAATAATTTACAAAATGTTGTTTGTATTAATTGATAGAATAATAATAAAAAAGTACTTATGTCTAAAAGTATATTTTAATAAATTGTTTACAATTTACAAATTTGTTTATATTTCCAAAATTCATTTACGACTTCTTAAAAAATACGAATTTCTACGATATGTTTTTTCATCATCTTTTTGTACTATATATGAACGGGGTGTGGAATGTTTTTCTACAATTTTTGCTGGAGTCCAAAATCTCCCTTCTTTTAACCATACTTCATCTCCCTTTTGAAAATCGTTTCTCTCAGTCGACAATCTATCGTGATATTTTTTGTTACTAAAATTGTTATGTTTTAAAACTGGTATAACTTTATTGCAAATTTCAGTGTTTTTGTAAAATTTATTTCTTCCTGGAACCAAGGTTCTTGTTTGCCTACCCATAAGTAGCTGCACTGGAGAATACTCTGTGTTCTTAATGGGAATATTTCTATATTCTAAAAGTGCATGCCATATATTACTTTTCTCGTCATTACATTTAAGAACAAGATTTTTGGCTACTTGAACCATGCGTTCTGCAAAACCATTCGACTTGGCATAATGTGGGCTTGTGGTAGTAACTCTAATATCTAATTCTGTTGCCCATTGTCGGAATTCAAAAGACCCAAATGGAACATTGTCGGCTATAATCTCGAGGGGATATCCATGCGTAGAAAAAATAACATTAAGTTTTTCCGAAAGTGCTTTCGCTGTCTTTTTGACTAATGGTACTATTTCTAAATATTTTGAAAAGTAATCTGATACAACTAAAAATTCTTTACCTGTTACTTCCATTACATCCATTGCTATTTTCTCAAAAGGCCCATTTGGTATTGCATGGTTTAAAAGGGGTTCTTTCGGATTAGAGGGTCTATATTTTTGACAGATGTTACATTTGACAATCATAGATTCTATATCTTGATTCATATTGGGCCAGAATAAAAGCTGCTTAGCCCTATTTTTAGTTTTTTCCATGCCCAAATGAGGTCTGTGAAGTTGTGTGAGTATTATTCCGCGAAGAGATTGCGGTATAAAAATACGGTCATCTAAAAATACCAGACCGTCTTCTACAAACAAACTCATTCTGTGCTTCCATAAATATTGTAAATGTTTTTCTAACTTGTATTTATCTGGTGGCCAACCATTCTTTACATAACTCAAAACTGCTTTTAATACACTATCTTTCGACGTTTCTTCCTGTATAGTAATTTTCTTTTCTTCGCTTACGTTTATAGTGTGTACCATGTCTTCTAAACCTTCAATCTCTACTTCTTTCCCGGCATTCTTTGAGATACTACGTGATAGCCAATCTGCCAGATATAAATATTTCCCTGGTAAATATGTGAAACTTAAATCGTATTTTTGAAGTTTTAATTTCATTCGCTGCAATTTTGCCGATGGAATTTTGTTGTAATCTTTTTTCATGATACCCAAAAGGGGTTTATGGTCTGTTATAACTTCTACCTTCCTTCCGTAGATGTAGTTGTGAAACTTTTGACACGAAAACACCACCGCCAGCATTTCTTTTTCAATCTGTGCGTATCTCATTTCCGATTCTGTTAAGCTTCTAGACGCAAAACATATTGGCACTTTATTCTGCAACAGAGCACATCCCACACCGCTCTTTGATGCATCTGTTTGAAGAAAAATTTTCTCCTTTCCGTTAAAGGGTCTTAAAATCGGAGCTTTCATTATTAAATTTTTGATGTCTTGTAAGCAACTTTCGTGTATTGGTAGCCACTCAAAAACTACAGATTTTTTCATTAGTTCTCTTAGTGGACTGCTTATGTGAGCTAAGTTAGGTATATACTCTCTCAGGTAGTTGATAAAACCCATCAACCTCTGCAAGTCTTTCTTACAATTTGGAGCTTTTAAATCTTCTATACCTTTTAGCCTGTTCTTGTCTATTGCTATTCCTTTTTCAGATACTGTATGTCCTAAAAAACTAACTTCATGTTGCTTCCATTGAATCTTTTCTTTATTAAATTTAATATTATTTTCTACTGCCCTTTTCAGTAGTAATTCTACAGTTTTATCATGTTCTTCTTCATTTTCAGCTGCTATAAGTATATCGTCAATGTAAACAGAAACATTTTTAATGTCTCCAAAGTTTTCTTCGTTGAATTTTTGAAACACCTCAGGTGCTATCTTTAAGCCAAAAGGTAATCGCCTAAACCTATAACAACCAAATGGCGTACTAAATGTGCATAGTTCTTTAGATTTTTCATTTAACTCTATTTGCCAAAATCCATCTTTTAAATCGAAGACTGAGAAAACTTTCTTATTAAGCAAATTTGGTTTGATTTGTTCAAATGTTGGTATTTCATAAAAATTATCTTTTATAGCATTATTTAATTCTTTGGGATTAATGCAAATTCTTAATTTCTTATTCGGTTTCTCGACTATTACTATATTCGAAACCCATGAACTCGGCTTTTTGTTTTTTTCAATAATACCTTTTTCACACAAGTTATTTAGTTCATTTCTCAAAGGCTCCCTTAACGATAACGGTATCCGAGATGCCGGCTTCGAGCACGGCGCGGCATTTTCTCTGAGTTCTATGGAAAAATGTTTTTTAAAACAACCTAATCCATTAAAAATATGCTCGTATTTTTTAAGCAAATCTTGCTTTTGAAAATTTCTTATGCTATTAATTCTTTTAATAAGACCTAGATGAACACAAGTTTCCAACCCTAAAATTGGAGTCGAATTTATTTCATTTTTGACTATGAAAAACTTTATGTGCTGGATTTTATTTTTTATATTACATTCCAGGATCACATATCCTAAATTTTCAATTCTTGTACCGTTGTATGCTACTAAACTTTCACAGCTTTTTCGAATTTCAACAAATTTTAATTCTTTTAGATAGTTCATCGGCAAAATATTAACCATGGCTCCAGTGTCTAATTTAAATACAATGATTTTGTTTTGAATTTTAATGTTTTCATTCCAAATTTTTGAATTATTTACACTTTTAATTGTATCTAAATATAAATAAGTTTCATTTTCATTCTTATTTTCTAGTTTTATTTCCTTGACCGATTTCTTTTTGCATACGCTCGCGAAATGATTTGTTCCTCTACAGTTGTTACAAAACTTCCCAAAGGCTGGGCATTTACCTCTTAAATGTGTTCTACCGCAAAACTTACAGTTAATGTTTCCCTTTTTACATTCTTTATGGTGATTTGGTTCACTTCTTTGCGCTTCAGTGCCACCCTTGCCCGGATTCTTTCGTACCAAATCTACCACCTCACTACTGCCTTGCATACGTGCTACCTGTTGATTTGAAAGCTCCGCTGAACGTGCTAAATCTACCGCCATCTCCATTGTTAACTCATGTGTATCCAGCAATTTCTTCTGCAATCTCTTGTCATTTGTACCTAATACAATACGGTCACGAACCATTCGATCCTCATTGTCGAAACCACACCTTCGTACTATTCTTTTCAAATCCATTAAAAAGTTGTCAAATGGCTCGCCAAGTGTTTGGCTGCGATTATGAAATACAAAACTTTCATAAACTTCGTTCCTTTTTGGCTTACAAAAATTTTCGAATGCTTTTGTAACCTCAGCATATTTTTTTCCTTTGCTCATCATCAAGATTGAATGTATTAAAAATTTCGATTGCATCTGTGCCAATCGCGTTTAAGAAGATAGCTACTTTTACTGGTTCCGGCTTCTTATCTAACTCGATAGCCACCGCAAATATTTTAAAATTTTGCCAGAAAATTCTCCAATTTTCGGCTAGGTTTCCACTTAATTTAAGCTCATCAACTTTTCTTACGTAATCCATGCTTTTTATGTAGACGTATCGGATCTGTTTGGGTGGCCTTCCACGTGGTTTGACACTCAATATGCGAACACTTGTACTGAGTTTAGCTCTTCCCATTTAATTTGGTTCATTTTAAGAATTTAAGAGCCATTTACTTAAAGATTTTCGCTATAAAATCTTTTTCTTTGTACGCGTAATTTTATTTAATATAAATATTTCTAATTTGTTACCGCGTGGGTTTTCTTACAAATTAATTTTCACCGGCTGCGCCATGTAATAAAACTACCAGTGCTCTTGTCTGTGGTCATTTACTGACTGC